CTAAGTATCCTTTTAACCACTTTCCAATGTTCCTCCATTGGAGAGCACATGAACTGACTCACCTTATTAACACTAAAAGCAATCTCAGGTCGTGTAATTGTGGCATATTGCAATGCACCAACTACAGACCTATACAAAGTAGGATCATCAAACAAGGTTCCCGCTTTAGCAAGTTGCTGACCACCAATCATAGGAGTGGATATTCCCTTAGAGTCTTCCATTTTTACCTTGGTAAGAAGATCAGAAATGTATTTTTGTTGAGATAACAGTAACCGCCCGTCAGAGAGTGACTTGACTTCAATACCCAAGAAGTAGTCCAAGGTACCAAGATCTTTGAGAGAAAAAATTTCATTGATACTCCAGCGACTCCAGTGCAGTTGTCAACTCTGTCCATGTTTTCACTGCCGAAAGACGTTGTAACATTTGAAACCATGGTACAACATCCTTATCAAAGTGAATTGCAGCAATATCCACTCGATCAGCATCTGGTGTGTGGTGATAATCAAAAAATTTTTCAGCCTTAAAAATCCACTCCAACACCGAAGAATGGCCATCAAAATGCGGAAAACCCAGGGAAATGTCTTTAACATGGAACGCATTACGTAATGGAGTGCCTCCACAATTCGAGTTGGTCGACGGAGAACCACTATTAAACTGATGTTGTGAATGTGTTTGCACGAGTCGGTCCAAAGATTGCTGGATCAAATCCATGCGAGATTGTGCTTCATTTTGGACTTGTTTAGTATGAGCGCGCTGTTCACGATCGCGAAGCTCCAAGAGGTCCATCAACTTCTTGATATCCGCCGCCTGACCACGAATTTCAGTTTGCAATTCTTTCAGACGAGTGTTCTCAGCCATGGCGTCAATGAAAGCACCAATGAAACAGTATTTTTATAGTATAATGATCTATAAACAGCAACTGAATAGTCTGGAATTGAAATGAATATATTCGGAATGAAACAACAAAATAATCTCAACAACTACGATTCAAAGAAATGAGACAACAGTTATTGAAATTCCAAATGTTCGTCAGCAACCACGGCCATGCAGAACCTGATCAAAATGATGAGAAGAAAGTTTAGAATTGCCAGAAAATGAATAGAGAGCTTCAGAGAGAATTGAGGAAATCATACCACACACACGTCCCATCACTGCACAAAGTCCTTCCATAAAACATTCTCTCTCCGTTGCCTCACGCTTTTCCTAAGGCCCTCATCTTGCAGATCACTTGCCACGTGGTTTTTTTGCATAACAACCTTTCCCTCCTTGTCTCTCTCTTCAACATTTCTCGAGCACGTTACAGTTGATCAATTAATTTTTGCAACAAGGAGGGAGAATTGCCAGTGAGGATAATGTCGTCCACGTAAACAAGCATGTAGACAGTAGCAGTTGGAATAGAGAAAATAAACAAGCTAGGATCACACTTGCTTTTGTGGAACCCAAGCTTCAGCAAGACAGATGTTAATCTGTCAAACCAGGCACGAGGGGCCTATTTGAGACTATAAAGAGATTTTTGCAGTTTGCAGACAAGATGTTTATTGCTGGGTTCAATGAAACCAGGAGGCTGAGACATATAAATGTCTTCTTCAAGCATTCCATTAAGGAATGCATTATTGATGTCAAGCTGTCGAAGTGGCCATTGAAAAGTCACAGCAAGAGAGAGAACAATCCTGATGGTGACAGGTTTAACAACAGGAGAAAAGGTTTCAGAAAAATCAAGACCAGGTTGCTAATGAAAGCCCTTGGCAACAAGCCTGGCCTTATACTTATTAATTGAGCCATCAGGATTCTCTTTAATACGGAAAACCCATCTGCACCCAATGGGTTTTCTGCCAGAAGGTAATTCAACTAGTGTCCATGTACGGTTGTCATGTAAGGCAGTGATTTCAGCTTGCATGGCAGCAAGCCAATTAGGATCAGCAAGAGCAGTTTTAGCTGTTTTTGGTTCGACGTTAGACAACAAAAGTGTAGGATTAATTCTGGGTTGAATAATCCCATTTTTTGAGCAAGTGGTCATGGGATGAACATTAGGAGGTATGGCTGGAGGTGAATTCGAAGAAGATGAAGCAGTAATAGAAGTAGTGGAGTTGTTAGCAGGCGTGGAAGGGGAGGAAGAGGGAAGGGAATTGGATTCTGAGGAGCCAGAACTAGAAGAAATGGCAGGTGGTATTGTGGTAAAGGAAGATGGGTTGTGAGAACAAACAAGAGAGGGAAGTGTAGAAACAGAGGTGGCAGGGATAAAAGCTTGGGATTTTGTAATGAAAAGATCATTGTAG